GGGTTTAGGGTTTAGGGTTTTCCCCGAGCCCTACCTGAACCCTGAAGAGAACTGTACATCCTAAACACCAAAACCCTGAACTGAACCCCACCAAAACCCAGGGAGAATTAAGCCCTAGACTTTAAAAGCCCTTACAAGAACGAAGCCCTGAGCGGCCAAATACACCCTTCAACTAGGTACCGGACCTAAACTCTCAGGAGGACTGCGAGACAAGCACAAACTAGTTGAAGCCAGCCTCGCACACTTGCTTGCACCTTTAAACATGAAGCCCTACAACATAAGAGTACGGATATGATGTTAGGCTCCTGTTTTTTTACACCTAAGCCGCCGAAGCCCTGAATCTCGATGCACGACTCAACCCTGAAAGCCAAGGGCCCGAAAGCCTCAAAGAAAGCCGCAAGGAACCCGTCCAGGAACCTCAATCCTTATAACAATCGAATCCCCAACCCCTGCCAGTGATACATTAGATATTGTAGATCGTGCTTTAGTATTTATTTTGGATACTATGGACCAAAACAACTGTATTATGTGCAGGTACCCTGGAATATGGGAACTATGGTACCTTATTCCCATCACAAACACCCTGGGAAGAACCACCAGGGCAGCCCATCGTTGCTTCCGTAGATGGCCCTAAAGGTCCAAGGGCCTAGTAACTTTTAGGGTTTAGGGTCCAAGGACCTAGTAACCATGCACTCCCCGACACACTATGCCACATGACTACTATCGTCAACCCACGGTCAACCCACGTGCCTAATTACAAATTGTTTTCGAGCTGGAGGGTTGGGACGACTCCACATAACGACACTCTTGATCAATAGGATGTAGTATTTCAATCGCATACTGAGCCCCTATCTGTCTCTTAGGCTCCCATAGAATCACGAGGAATGGCTAGATCCGGGCTTTGGTGGGGCACTTGGTGGCTTGACAGCGATATTGGCAAGATTATCCTTAATGCAGATCTAGATGCTAGTAAAAGAGCTGCCGCAAACCCTAAACCCTAAACCCTAAACCCTGAACCCTTCACACAGTATCCCAAGCCTTTGGCCGTGACTGTCCATTGATCGCATCACTCCGAAACCCTTCAGGGTCCATGTATCCATATGAATATACTTTGACCCTAGAGTACCCATATAGGGACTACATTAAGGCCTGAGTATGTACTATTTGGGAACATGGACCCTTATAAGGATAGGGAAATTCGACCGGCAATCCAAAACCAAGGCCCTTCTGAGATTCGTCTTGTCGGCCACGGGGCAGGACGTAAGACCAAGCCACCGTCCAGCGGAATGATGGCGCGTCCTGCTCATTGTTGTGGACCCCTAAACCTTATAAACCCTAAACCCTGAACCCCAAACCTCAGCCCCCAAATCTTGCCAAAAGTAAACTCGAAGCCTTCTCGGCCCCATCCTCTAAGCCGTTTTACAATGGCTCCGAAAATCTGTGCATGAGCTCCCCATCCAAGCCCTTCTCGCTTGAAGCTTGAATCCGGACTCCGATCAGCCGAAACAGTACACCCTACACCCTCACCCTAAGCACTCCAACTGGATATAGATAGGATAACTGCATACATATATATATATACACATGTATGTATGTATGTATGTATGTATGTATGTATAGATAGATAGATAGATAGATGGACAGATATATATATATATATATAGGGAGAGTATATGTGTCAACTGTCAACGTGCGAAGCCATGCTCGAGACATAGGCCCTCTCAACGAGATGCCTCCACGTAGTTATGTCGCTCCGCAAGCGATGGTGTGAACAACCTGCAGGTTTGACACAGCCAAGGCTCTCGTCTTGCACCCGAAAAGAAACACAACACACATACTGCTGGGTTGAGGATACGGTCCACGGTGTCAGGGTTTAGGACCCAAGCCCAATTTAGAAGTCAGCACTAACCCAGAATGCTGAGAGGTCACAAACCGCCACAGCTCCAAGAAGTCACACTCCATCCTGAACAAGCCCCAAAAAGTGTACACTTTCAGTTCTATAAGATCATACTATCACAAAAAGTGTAAAGTGTACTCACTCGGCTACTAAGATCCTTCTAACCAAACATGAACCTCGCACCCTAAGCTCGCACAGGGAGACTGCCGAAGCCCGATTCGAATCACTAAGGCCCCCTATATTATATCCCACGAGAAGGCACCCCTAAACCCTAAAACTACCCTAAAACCCTAAACCCTAAACGCAAAACCCAAAACCCCTAACCCTAAACCCTAAACCCCCTAAACCCAAAACCCCAAAACCCAAAACACGAACCAAGCCGCCCAAAGAGCTGGTTCCCCAAGAGCAAGCCCATGGGATTCGCCACGTTGCTGATGGTCATGAAGAGCCCAGCCAGGAGGCCCTCTTCAGGCGTTCAGGGTTTAGGGGGTGGGGTTTAGTTTAGGGTTTAGGGTTTAGGGTTTAGGGTTTAGGGTTTAGGGTTTGGGGTTTAGGGCTTAGGGTTTAGGGTTCAGGCGTTCAGAGTTTTAGGCTAAGGGTATTAAAGCTGGCTTAGGGCATTTATGTGTTCAGTTGTTCAGTGTTCAATTTCAGGCTTCAAGGTTTACTCTAAGAACGCGGGACCAGTCAAGAGGCGCAGTTGCTGCTGTCGGCAAGCTCGTTCACAACGAAGCTGCTGACCAAACCGGCCATGGCCTGCTTGATGGCACACGGTAAAGGGTTTAGGGTTTAGGGTTTAGGGGTTTAGGGGTTTAGGGGTTTAGGGGTTTAGGGTTTAGGGTTTATAGTTCTGTGCGTACACAGTGTAGCAGGTTTTACGGTTTAGGGCTTCGCTTCAACATCGTTTAACTCTGCGATGTTCGCTTCGGTGCGGGCGTTGACATCGTGAGTTTCGTTGCCGTTGCCTTCCGGAGATCTCAGCAGCTTCACACTGGGCCGTGGCTACCGGAAAAGGGGGGATTACAATGCTTTACTGCTAAGTTAAATCAACGCCAAATCAGTGAGCAGGGGATCCATGTACTGGGGTAGCCTTGGGTTTACGGCTTAGGGCTTCTAGGATTTATCTAAAGAGCCCGTCAGGTATTGTCATAGAGGTACTTTCTTGCCATTTTTCAGCATACGAAAAATACAAAACATACAAATCAATCAACATAAATGTCACCAACATTACAGAGAATACAACCAACATGCCAGAAAGTATTACCAACATACCAGAAAATACTGCCAACATACCAGAAAATATTACCAACATACCCGCAAATATTACCAACATACCAGCAAATACTACCAACATACCAGCAAATACCACCAACATGCCAGACAACCTTATCAACAGACCAGAAAATATTACCGACATGTCAGAGGATGTTACCAACGTACCAAAAAAGTACAAAAACATGCAAGCAAACTGCAAGAAATACAACAACACAGAAACTGCAAACAATACGAAACATGCAGAAACATACAACAAATACAAATCTGGACTGTCGGTCTGTGCTGTTTTCCTTTCCTTGGAACAGGCCGGATAGCTACAATAGCAGTCTCCCCACAGCAACTTCCAACAGCAGAACCCCCAGCAAGACATGGCACGATATCCTGTGTCCATGGTATGACGAATGTTTTTTTCGAATGCCTATGGTATCTTACGTATGCCTATGAGATTTTGGTCATATGTGTCGGTCTGGTTTCGCGTTTCTTGCATGTGTTGGTATGTTTTCATGGTCGTTTGTATGTTGTGTTTTTCGTATTTTCGTACGTTGGTATATTTGGCCCCAAGCACAGAAAGTACCTTCCATGAAAATACCCTAAGGGCACTGAAGAATTTATCAGATTTGAATGATTTATGTTATTGGGTCATGAGTCTCAACAAGGACGGCACCGCCAGATGCTTCGTGCAGCATGTGGGCTGAGGCCTACAATGTTTGTGGCTAGGGTGTCAAGGAGCTTCATTTCAGCTAATTACCATACTCGGGATGTGAATTAACTACAGTAGTACACTTTCCTCTTCATATGTCATATATACAGGTACACATATGTATGTACGTGTATGTGTTTATATATATATATATATATACATACATACGTATTAATCTACATATGTGTGTATATGTATATATATATATATATATGTGTATATATATATACAGAAATACATATGTATACACATAATGTATAGTGAGTTAGATGAGCTCCTCAAGTCGAATCTTGGGATCCTATACCCTGGGCTTCAAGCTCAGTTTCTGCCTCGGGGACAGCACTGACGATAGACTCACCAAGGTAGAAATACTGGTCCCGCACGATGCCAAAGATAGTGAGAAATGTCGGCAAGGCATCCTTGGCAGCTCTTGGCCAATTTTCGGGCATAGGGTGCAGGGTTTAGTGGTTTAGGGCTCTCAACGAGAAACTTAACACAACATAGCACAGAGAACCTCAACCCTAGAACATTGCAAACGCCACCACCTCTGCCACGAATAGTAGCAACGTCACATTCAGCAGCCAAGTCTTATCGCTATGCCTTCGAACGATTAGCATTGGTACTGATCCGAAGGCTGATAAAATATCTCTCCTGACAATTGCATTGCAGTGGAAGATGCACATGATCGATAATGACAGCAGCAGTCCAATCCCCAACATGGCAGTTGGATCTACAAGTACCATTCTGATAGCTTCTACGAAACCTCAAGACCATCAAACATCAACAGTCAATGCTTTGTTTCTGGTTCTAACCAGTATCACTCTTTTTGTCTGTGCCGGGTCTCCATAGTCGTACAGGTGACTGTGGCGAACAGCATGATCTTTCGCCAGCTGACATTCCTGGCTCGGTCATGCAGCGGATCTGATCTGTCCGGCTAGCGCGGCTAGCGGACGGGACACAAAACCCCTAGACTTTAATCACTAAACCCTGTATTGGCATTCGTGTAACCCTGTAAAACCCTACGCCCTAAACCTTTACATCTCCTCAGCAACTTCCAGGCCCCCAGTCGAAAGCAAAAACTCTTCGCCCGCCCTAGCTGATCGAGGGGGCCGCAATAATTGGAATCGGGTTTCGGGCTAGAGATTTTAGCTGGTATACTTACAATAAGGATCCCTCATAAAAAATGTGTCATTAACTGATCAGGTTGTTATGTGGCGCCCTACCGGCTAAACCCCAAATCCAAACTTAACTTTAACCTACACCCTACACCCTAACGCCCGAAAACCCCAAACCCCGAAACCTGCAATCAGCCATGGCTCAGCATGTATTTCTGCAAGAGCCAGCTGCCAAACAGGGACGCGAAGACTCCGAGCAAGGAGCACAACTGCCTCAGCAACATGAAGGGCAGCCCTATACAGGGGGCTTACTAGTTAGAATCGGGTTTTGGGGTCTATTACACTATAGTTATAATAAGGAACCCCCAAAACCCTAGTCTAAGTATTAATGATTTAAAAGCTTGGGGAAATCTGAGGAAACCCACGTCATGAGCAAATACAGGGACAGGGACCTTAACTATTTGGAGCAACGTTTTGGTGTACACTATGCTATACTTGTAAGACGGACGAAAAGGGATAGGATTCTTAGTATATTGTTGTGATGGTTATTGTGAGTAGAAGGGGTGGTGTGATAAGCCCGTTCACAGGGCACGGGCTGACATGAGCATCACTGGAGGAGTCTGGTTCGTCTGGGCAGGGAGGTGCCGCTCAGTTGTGTATAGGTCCTTTTTTCGGATTAGGGTTTAGGATTTAGGGTTTAGGGCTTGGGGTTTAGGGAGGTCCTTCAAATGCGGATCCCACTGTGCTGGGACTATATTTTGGTAGACTCCAGCATCCATACCTCTAGCACAAGTCACAAGGGGAATTTGCACGCAAAGGGTCCCCCTCAAACGTAAGCCCTTCTCGGAGTGATCTTTGCGCTTGGAGAAACAAGCGATGGACATAAAGCCATAGATGGAACCTCCCCTTGGTCTGAGGTACCATTGGGTGCTCCTCGTCAATCTGAAAGTCTGAGTCCTATAGCACGCCCTTTGCCTGAGCCCTAAACCCCAAACCCTAAAAGCCCTAATTACCCATAGGCCCTAAAGTAGTTACTTTTTGGGGTTCATATATAGAATCCTATAAGGTAACCCCAAAAAGGAACTACTTTAGGGCCTATGGGTAAACATGAAGCAGCTAAAATCCTCAACGCGGAAAGACTGCAAGGCTCCCTGCTTTCTGGTCTTCGAGGAGCATTTGCAAACTCTTCACGCCGGCCCACTCCTCCAGAGAGGCGTTCGGTCGGGGTTCCGCGCATTTGAAAGGTTTCGTCAGGGTTGGGGTTCGGGGTTTTTGGTTTTAAGGAGGTTTGAGGAAACACTGAGAGCAGCCAAGATCACAACCCTTGGCAAACGCAAGGAGACTCGAGCCTGTTGTTTCATTTTTTGAGCAAGCTCTGGCAACTGCAGAATCTCAACCCCCCCTCCCCCCCCACCCCCCTTTGCTGTTGGTCAGAATAGGCTTCTGGGGTACAGAAGACTAGTGTGCTGATCCTATGAAATCACCCGAACACTTAAGCCGCCGGAGATTGGATTTGGAGCCTGAAATGCTAACACTCAACACCGCCATCCTAAACTCTCAACCTCAAAGCATTCACCTGCAATCTTCACTGAAGGTCTCAGTCGGTTAAGCAGCTTTACCCGTAGGATCCCATCTTTTCGCTGGCCTAATCAGGAAACTGCAATGAAGACTTTAGGTGGGGAACTTAGCCCCTGGAGCCGGGGCCTGGATAACCCAGGCCTTTTTGGATCGTTTCGGACTTGCAAAACCCTTCAAAACGCCTATAGATCCCTCATTGCTTTGGGAGTCCTGATAGAACCCTGGAAAGCCCTACTAAACCCTAAACCCTAAACCCTAAAACCCTAAACCCCTAAACCCCTAAACCCTAAACCCTAAACCCTATACGTACTTTTTCAGCCAAGCTTCCATCATGACCCAGAAGCTCGCCGTGGTGAAGACTTTCGCGAGGATGGCCCTGACGAAGAAGTAGAGGCCGGCAGCAGCCACTGCCTTGCTCTCAAAGAGACTCCTTAGCCAAATCATGGCCGCCAAATAGGGTTTAGGGTTTGGGTTTAGGGTTTAGGGTTTAGGGTTTAGGGTTTAGGGTTTCGGGTTTCGGGTTTAGGGTTTAGGGTCCATTAGGGTTTAGGGTTTGGGGTCCACTAGGGTTTAGG